AAAAGGGGGGGAGATGTCACTGTGATTCATGGGTGTCGTTAGCTAGTCTTTTGTGTGCAGTGATCACCGGTCCTTGTGGTTGGGTAAAGTTTGTTGACTTTTAGCAGGCTGTATTTTTCAGTGCTGGGAGCCAGGCTTTGTTGAGTTTTAAACTGTCTTCTTTTTTGTTGAAGCTGTACTGGTTTGTGGATTTCAATGGCTTCCCTGTGTACTCTAACATAATGATTGCTGGGGTTGTCCAGTACTTTTGTGTTTTGAAATTGGATTTCATGTCCAGCTTGCTTCAGGGCATGTTCAGCTACTGCCAATTTTTCCAGTTGTTTTAGTCTGCAGTGTCTCTTGTGTCCTTTGATTCTGGTGTGGATGCTGTGTTTTGTTCTTCCAATATATACCTGTCCACAACTGCAAGGTATCTGGTATACTCCTGCAGTGGTGAGGGGGTCCCTTTTGTCCTTTGCTGACTGTAACATTTGTTGTATTTTTGTGGTGGACCTGAATAGTGTTTGTAGGTTGTGTATGGCCAACTCTGAAGAAAGTCTAAAACTCAACAAAGCCTGGCTACCATCACTGAAATATGTAGCCTGAAAAAAGGTCAATAAACTCTACCCAACCACAAGGACCGGTGATCACTGCACACAATGTAATAGCTAATGACGCCCATCAATCACAGTGACAGATCATCTCCCCCCTTATCACAACAAAAAACACCCCGATCACCCAATCTCCTGAAAAGGACAAAAGCTGATCCCACAGCTACAAATACTCAACTATCCCACACACTACACTGGAACACAGACAGAGTTCTGACTCCTGTCCTCTGAAGATGCCGGCCACAGAGACTGGCAAAACGTTAGGAAGAAAAACCTCCAGAACATGGCCAAACAGCCTGAAAAACTTACAACTGCCATTAAATTTCCTTTCTGCTTCTTTTTGATCAAAAGATTGTGGGCAAACCATGAAACCTGAAGGTATACCCGTCTTTCAGATTAAATGGTTGCACTTTTCGTAGTGATAGCCACATTTGTCTATGCTTGCCTATCTGACAAGAAACAAAACAAAAATAAAAATTAATTATGACCAACTTTGTTGTGGCACCTTAAAGACAAACTGCTCTATTTTTATGTGAGCTTTCGTGGCTCAAATCCACTTCCTCAGGCATAAGAGCCTTCCTCTTATGCCTGAGGAAGAGGGTGTGAGCCAAGAGAGCTCACACGAGTTCAGTGGTTCGTAAATATATTGGGCACAGGATGGATGTGGGTGTGTGGAGATCTAAGAAGAGAACTGAGTCACTGTACTGCCAGCCCCTGGTTTCCGCTTGTCCAGCTGAAAATTATGGGCATGGAGCAGTATAATAGCTTGCTACGGAAGCCGATGAAATAAGATTTGAGTTGAACTCTGCACTAGAGAGCAGTCACAAGTCATGCACTTCAGAATGTTTGACAGCTAAGAGGAAGGGCAGATACGGTCCTCAGCACATTAGTTTTATCCCTGACAGGTAGGAAATCCGACTGTGAAATCGATGCAATGGTGGTCTCTGATTCAGGTTGTTACGCAGGTGTTCGAACACAGGTTTGCAATGTATAATGTTGTCTCTAGAGACGGGGCAGAAACCGCTGGTTCAACGGTTCATGCCGGTTTCGTTTTTTTGGCGTTCAGCGCTTCTAAGCTCCTCCTCCGCCTACAGGCACCCACTCAGAGGCCCCACCTGGAGGAGGCGGGGCAAGGAAACTGGGGCGCGGCCTCTAAGTGGGCACGCACCAAAGGAGGCAGGGCTGGGAACACTTAGTTCGGCCAAAAAAACAAACCGGCATGAACCATCAAACTGGCACTTTGTCTCCATCTCTAGTTGTCTCCTTAAGACAGCAGGAATGAAGGAATATTGGAACGAGGCCGGATACCTTGCAGTTGTGGCGAGTTATATATTGGAAGAACAAAACATAGCATCCAGGCCAGAGCCTGGGGGGAAAAAATTGTGGACTACAACTTCCAGAATTCCTCAGCCATCAAGGTGCTCTTTCTTTCCAGATAACTGAAAATCCAGAGGGGGTCGTCTACTGAAGTTTGACAGTATCAAGCCAGATTTTTTAAAGAGTATATTTTTTTCCTACCTTGCACAGAGTTAAGCTGTAGAATCCCCTGCCACACAATGTAGGGAAGACCACCAAGAGGCACAGTTTTAAAGGAGGACTGGACAAATGGACTAATAGACACCCCCCCATGAAAGATAAGGGATATGAGTGGCTACAAGGGATGACTGGTATATACTCTCTCCTGTACCAGAAGCACTAGTACGCACTTAGCAGGGGATTTGAGTGGAAAGTCAAGTTGGCCCATTCTTTGGTCAGATTCAGAGGCTCTTCCAAGACTCCCAGGTGTGAGAAAGCTAGAAGAGGCAGAAGTCTTCACATCCACAGCCTCTCAGACACTTGAACACAGGGATCAGAGCATGCCTCACTTGTTCCAACCAGAGCAGCGTTTGAGAGGACGCACCCTGGAAGTATTTCATTAGGCAACTAATTGCAAATCCATCCATTCCCTGTACAAGATAACTCATTATTGCTAACCGGAGCAAGAGGTTAATGGTTTACTAAATGGCTTTGTTCCCCACTCCATTATTTCAAATCTTGGAAACATCTGCTCGAAATCCTTCTTCAAAATACCCTTAAGTAGAAAATGCAACTCTTTAACATTCCCACGCCCACACACCAAATTAATGTCACTTTGACAATGCCACGTCATTGTGCCTGCTACTAAATAGTACCGTTTCCCCGAAAATAAGACCTAACCTGAAAATAAGCCCTAGTAGGATTTTTCAGGATGCTCATAATATAACCCCTACCTCAAAAAAATAAGCCCTAGTTAAGTGAAACCCTGCCCTCCACCCTTGTGCAGCAACCAGAAGATGACATGACTGTATTTGAATCAATATAGATGGTTGTACATGAGAAAAAATAAAACACCCCCCTGAAAATAAGCCCTATTGCATTTTAGGAACAATAATTAATATAAGACCCTGTCTTATTTTCGGGGAAACACGATAGCACATCATTGTGTTACCTGTAATTTATTACAGTACTTCCAAACGCTGAACTGGAGATGACTTGACATTACTTGTAATGCATTTCTTTCAAGCTCTAAGAACAGCTCTTAGCAAATGCAATGGGATTTGGTTTTCAAAGGGGCTAAGTGTGCCGTCTTTCATTTCCGTGTGAGCCTCCAAGACGGCTGTTGCGTCAACCCATGTTGGCCGCGGCTTGAAGTCATCTGTTGACTGTCCTTCTCAACATCTCAGCAGGACCACCGCCAACGGCTTTCCTGGTCACCCTTCTTGATATGGCCGGCTTTCAGAAACCAAAGTCCTAGTGACCTTGCCTGCTTTCCAACATCTCATGTCCCACCTGTGACCAGGATAACAAGCCTCTTAGTATTATACAGTATGTTTTATTTCTCAGATTTCTTTATCATTCTATTGTTTTGTGTCGGCATACTTCATTATGTTATAAACCACCTAGAATAGTGCATTGCACGAATGAGGTGGTTAAATAAATAAATAAACAGCAGAAACTCGTAATGAGCTGCAACTATAGTTTGGCACAAACTGCTATTTTTCATGTGACCGTGCAGCAGCGTTTCACCTCCCCTCTCGTCTAAACGTGTGCAGATTATCCATGCACCACTTCCATGCGCTTGTTCATTGCTTCAAGGTAGGAACCTACGAGCCAGCGCTGGAAAATGTCTTTTTCCAATAGTACTGTCCTTTGGAATCAGCCCAAAGCTGGTCAGATAGAAGAAAATGGCCAGCATCTGCAGTGATGGGGTTGGCAACAGAACTGCTCTCACTTCCAGTACCTACAGATGCTCAGGCAGAGAAGGCCCTCAACGAACACAACCCAAAGTGTTGCTGGAAAGGTGAACAGAAGGGGAAAGGATGCAAATTAGGAAGTGAAGGAGCTGCACAAGAAAGGCTCCACTTTGGACTATTTGTTTGGAAGAAAGCCCTGTGGAAGGGCAGGTCTCCTGTTTTTTTCTCTCCTGTTGTCAGTGCTGTGATCTAGTGAGTCAGTTGGACAGAAATACCTGGCACTAGCCTGCCATCTAGTGATTCCCTGAGAGGGCACCGATGGATGAGGATAAGTTGAGGTGGGGAAAGGTAAAGGTTCCCCTTGACCTTTAGTTGTGTCCAACTCAAGGGCACGGTGCTCAACCCCGTCTTCCAAGCCGTAGAGCCAGCGTTGGTCCGTAGAGTTTTCCGTGGTCACATGGCCAGTGCGACTAGACACAGAACGCCGTGACCTTCCCACCGAGGTGGTACCTATTTATTGACTCACATTTACATGCTTTTGAACGGCTAGGTTGGCAGGAGCTGGGACAAGCGACGGGAGCTCCCTCCATCATGTGGATTCAATCTCACAGAGGCTGGTCTTCTGACCTTGCAGCCCAGAGGCTTCTGCAGTTTACCATGTCCCTCTTGAGGTGGGGAAAAGGGGCATCCTCATGGCCTTTCCTTGCACTCCAAATGATACAGGAGCTCAAAACGTTCATTGTTGCCTTTCAAAGCAGCTTGGTATAACAAAACCTTTCAGACAACAAGTGCCTGGGTTACACAGATGTCCTGTTGTAGGGATTCTCAACCAGCAGTCCATGATATGAGCCAAAAGGACTCTTTAAAGTGGTTAAAGGGAGCACAGAACGCACCTGCGACAACAGCTGCACCACTGTTCCCAAGTCCAGTTCAAAGCACTGCTTCTAAGCTATAAAGCTCTCAATGACTTGGGTCCATGTTATCTCAAGGAGCGTATCTCTCCCCACAAGAACCCTTCTGGTCCTTAAGCTAGGTTAAGATATGAAAGTCTTGAGTCACTCTTCTACCACACACAGACAACCTATTGGAGGTAAACGTGCTACAGAGAACCATACTCCAAGGGGTAAGAAGCATGATTTAGGGCTGAGGGTCTGTGGAATGGGTGTGTATGTTTACAGAAAAGAAGTTCTGAAATGTATTCAACACTGATCAAGATTTTATTTATTTATTTTTGAACAATAAAAACAAAGAGCTGTGCTCCGAGCAAAATTCAATCACAGAAGAAGTCAGTTTTCTCTTCTTCTTCCTCCTCCTTCTTCAAAGTTTACTGACAGCGTTGCAAAGTAAGGCTTCCCAAAAGGGGCGGGGAGAGAGTTTATTGAAATAAGTTATCTTTGCTTAAACACACCATTCGTAGTTTTCTTATATCTGCCTTCAGGTACCCTAAAAGCCTGCAATAAAAAGATATATTTGATCCTGTTTCTTCCTTCCTTTTTGTCTTAATACTGGGCAACTTCTGAAGGATGACGATACTCCTCAAACACTTAAAAATTACTTGGCGGCCATTGTAAAACTCAACAACACCATCTAAGACCAAAGGTCTTCAAAATATCTACTAGAGTCTTACAATACTCAAGAAAAAGCTAGACCACACCTAATCTAATGTCTAATAGCGCTCAGTTCTCTCAGATCTGTACATCCGACTCCTCTAAGTGGGCAGACGCATCATTGCAAAGTGTAAGATTAAAAATATATATATATTTCAGCATGCTCCCAGGCCTTTCCTAAATGTTGTCTGCTTCCCCGTCCTAAATGGAGTCTCCTCTGAAGACAGCCCCGGAGACCAAACCCTGACACTCTGCAGTTCTGTGTACCTGCTCACCAAAACACTGAAGCCTAATAATAGCTGGGCTTGAGCCTCTTCTATTTTATTCTCCAAAAGCCGTATGCCTTGATGCTGGCAATGAAATGCACAGGAAAAACTAAGCCAGCCTCTGGGCAGAAGGAGGCCAGAAAAATTCAAAGCGTCCATGCCAGGGCCAAATAAGGGCAACCCCTTGCTTAGCTCCACTCTTTAAAACTCAGCTTCATGTCTCCGGCTCCAAGATGTCTCCTCCTGTTGGCGGGCTCCGTTCCGATACACTCCCGAGATTTCGACATGCCCCCCACCCACCCAAAGAGATTCTGCCAAAGCCTAGGCGCCTCTCTGAAATGCATTCTCGCTCACACGCAGCGGCTCCACAGTGACGTTGGCTGATTCGGGAGGGCACGTTTGCCAAGGCAACCTCGCAATTTCTCATTCACTCCGTTTCTTCTCGGAAGGGCTTCGCTGGGACAGACGGACAAGCCGGCTGCCAAAGAGCCACGAGAAGGCCTGGGCCGTCTGAGCAGCAGCCCATGGGGAGCGGAGGGGGAAAACGTGTGTATGTGTGCACGTCACTTGGAGAAAAGAGGTACCCAAGAAAGGTTAATTGATCAGGCGTCCAAACACTGATTAGATATCACATGCTTTATACAGTGAAGAAGCAGCCAGCTCACTCATCCTCAGCACAGCTCGCCGAGCACCGGAGAAACATCCGCTCGCCGACAGGGGCCAGCCAGCGCGCGCGCAAGATGGCGTAAATGCTGCTTGTGTGGAGAAGGAACAGGAGCAGATAGGGAGTGTTACGATGGGTGCTGCTTCTGAAGCCTTCGCTCTGCCGCCGCGGCCAGCATCCGGCGACGCAACGTGATGGGGTCGGACGCCCCTCCTTCAGCCGGCAGGGAGAGGTCTGAGGCCGAGTCTTCGGAGGTTTTGTTGAGATAACGCCTGGGAAGAAAATGGAAGGAGGAATCATCGCTGGAGCGGGGAAAGCATCGGAGAGATTTATTGTGGCTGCAGAGCAGGGACAGGCCATTAGGATGGCTCCGGGGGCCACTTTTCTCCCCTGTGGAGCCTTCTGGGGGTTTGCACAGATTGCAACAAAAAAAAAAGTAAAAGTAAAAACCCTGCAAAAAACGAACCTGCACATGAGTAGAAATTCACTTCCAGCTTTGAAGAAATGGGTTATTTTGGTGCTTAAATAGTACAGGGGAGACCTCCCAGCCTAAGGGGAATCACCCCTCCTTGACACTTCCAGGACGTTTACTGCTTTATTTTTATTTTTTTCCAAAGAAAACGGGGCCAGAAGAGGCCTGGGAGTTTCAAAAACAGCCTTGGGCGTTGCAAACAGTCTGAGAGCCAGACTCTGCCCAATCCTGCCCTAAAAGCTGCCCAAGTTGGCATTCCACCCTCCCCTTTGGACGGGTATTCCAACTCAAAATTCTGCACCAAGGAAAGCCGAATGCCCCTTCTCCCAGCTCCCGGGCCTCTCTTGAAGCGCACGGCTCTTCTTCGGCAGATCCGGTTGTGGCTGCAAGAGGAACAAAGCCGCTCTGCCTCTCCCACAACCCTTTGGGAACGGTCGTTTTTGCAGACAACAAGCACGACCGGGAGACTAAAGGACATCAGAAATTCAATCAGAAAATGAACGTCTGGGCATTTTTTTTAACTCCCCATGCTCCAATTTCTAAAACTTCTGGGGCAACATGTGATGGGAATAGAGCCAGCAGGCCTACCAAAAGAGTCCATCCTTTTTTGTAACTCATGTACAAAACACCCACCTACTGGAGGAGTCTGCCTTCTCCTTAGAAATGGCACAACAAACACCGAAATGCTCTAGGCATTCTCAGATACCTGTTGCATTTGGGTCACTTTGTTATGCTTGTTCTCTAACAATTCACAACGAGGATCTGAATCCTTGCCTGCAAGAAGCGGCAAAAACAGGGGGTGGCTCCTCTTCCCAAAGTTCCAGACGGCAGGAAGACGCCATTAAATTTAGAAGCTGTGGTTCAGAATGCAGACGTAGGATTCCTGACTAACCCTTGTAGAGGAAGCCCACTCTTGCCACTCAATTCTGCACTGCAAAAACACAACCTTGGTCTCTCCTGAAAATGGTGGTTCCAATTTTATTTTAATGCTTCCTAGAAGAGATAGTAATGGCTCTTCATTTAAGAGAGAAACGTTCCAGTTGGAGCTCAGCCCACGTCACTGGTCTGCCATTCCCATCAGCCTTAGCCAGTGATGGGGAATGTAGGGGACTGGAGTCCAGCCACATCTGGAGGGTTGGCATTCAACCCACTCCGGTTTACAAGGACCCAGGGATGCCCGTTGGGAAAAAAAAGCCAGTGATGGGGAATGTAGGGGACTGGATTCCAGCCACATCTGGAGGGTTGAAATTCTGGTTTACAAGGACCCAGGGATACCCGTTGGGAAAAAAACACATCTATACACACACACGCATGCACGCACACACACACACACACGCACACACACACACACACCTACCTGCGAGCTTGCTGCAACAGGTCCTCCTTCCTCTGGACTAACATTCGCTGCCGCTCGTCGGCCGACTTGGAAAAACGGCTCCCTCTCACTTCAAAATCCTCGGTCTCTGCGGGCTCCACGTCTGTCTCGTTGAATTCCATCATCTCTTCCAGCCTCGAGTTGAGCTCCAGGGGGACTCTCTCAGTCTGCCACGCAGAAGGAGACAGGAAAAGGGAACCAAGGCGGTAAGCGGCCGTTATATAATTCCACACCACCAGAAGAACCGGGCAGAGGAAACAGGAGAGGAGAAGAAGGGAAGTTCAGATGAAGATATGTTACCAAAAAATAACACCCTCTGCAAACGCTGTGACAGGGAATAATGGAAAGGCTGAATCTCTGTCAAATATATAACCCAGCAAATCACCCGAAGGGATCTGAACAACATCCCAAAATCAGAAAGCAGGGGAGGGGGGCTATTTTTCATCCTAATTCCTAAACTGCAGGTGCACCTTGACTCAGTCCGTCTGCTGTCACTGCCTCATCAGCAACAAACAGAAGTGTTTCCCTAGACTGTTCTGTCAATGCATTTGAAATATAGAAGCAGCAGGAAGAAAAATAACATCCTCATATAGCAGCCTAGATCCTATGGGCTACTTCCAGGGGTGTTTGCGTAAATGATGGACATCACAGAGGCAAATATCGCGAATGATGATAACTGGGGAAGGATGATGCAGATTCCTCAAGTCTTCCAGTCTCAAAACAGAACAACCCACACACTTACTCCCTGAACAGACATTTAGGCTGACAGCATAAACAGCCTGTTCACACCTTTTCCATTAGAAGCTGTCTGTAGTGGATTCTCCAAATTCATGGGTGACAAAAGATAGAAGAATTCTTTCTAAAACCTAATAATAGCATGTGTGTCCAGTTTATTACCTGCCCATCCTGCTATACATAATATGCTTCCCCACACACACACACACCTTCCCCCCCCCAGCTTACCTGAGTTATCTCTTCAGCATCCTCCTGATCACTGTTGTGTCTTTCCAGTGGGGTGTTCAAAGCGGGTCTGATGCTGTCTGAACGCTGAAAGAAATCCAATGAATTGATACAACATGAAAAGGATGCTCCCAACAAAAGATTTTATACAGGCAATTTTATACCTTCTACAGTTCTGCAGTTGTACGAGCCTGTCAATGCTGTATGACTTGCTGTACTGCTGGTTTGTTACAAGAGACTAACACCTAGGAAATTTTAAAAGACCAGAGTGGAAAATAGGCACCGTGTGGCAGGTCTTTCCATATCCAACTTCAATGTTTAAATCCATTATGAAAGTAACGTGGAGTTAAATTCCACATTTCAGAACAACTAGGACAGCAATTCCGTGGGGGCCAATATGGGCTGCCTGTTGCCGAAGATTTCGCACCGGCTACACTCAAAGGGAGAAAGGCATCCGTCTGCAACTCAGGGCTAGTTGCATCCGACCCACCTGCGTTGGGAAAGGCACTTGGATGTGGCCTTCTAAAATGTTGTCTGTTGTAATTTCTACAGAACGCGTCAGCTGCAGATCCTGCAGAATGAGGTGGTAAGGGACCTGCGGAAACATCTCCTGAATCTGATGGGCCTAGGGGAAAAAATTGAAGACAATGAACATCCACATCATTACGATGTAGGGATCCAACTGCAGCATGTTCAACTCTTTGCAATAAATTCTAAGCCACTTAGTCCCCTTTTCCACTACACTTGTTAATGAAGCACAAAGACACGACTTGACTCTGAGACCACCATTCCCCCTAATCTCTCAGCCAGCACAGCCGCAGGAAGGAAAACCTGCAGGACCAGATAGAAAAGATCCACTCAGCTGCAGGCCATGAGCTACACCCATGAGACCTCAAGAATACTGACACAGCTTTCCAAGGAGGTTAGCCTTTTATAACATTTTGAATTGGGCAATCAATGTACTTATGCCCTACATCGCGAGGTCTGTTTTACGGCACAGAGGGGCACTTCTGCAGAAGGAGTCACCAGGAAACAAATAATCAACTCTGATATGACCCAATCTGACTGATTACTGCATTCATTGCTTAATTCATTTTATGAAACACTGCCTTTTTAGGAACATGCATTTTAAGGACATGGTGTGAATTCTTCTCACTCCACTTCAAAGCAGCCTACCCTGCGGCAAAGCTCTCTGGGAGATTCGGACAACCCAACTGTGCCACAAAGCCCTCTCTGTGCAGATGCCGCAGGTGATGCTTCAGCTTGACTCAGAGGATACTGGAGAGGGTGAAATGGACAAATCTTCCACCCCTCCACTTACAACCCAGCAGCAGTCCACTAGTCTCTGTCTGGACCTCACTCCTTTTCCCCTTTTAATCTCCATTCAAAGACCACTTTCTCACTCACACAAAAGCTTTAGTCTTAAACTCCTTGGTCTCGATCCTCAAGCAAAGCCACTATGTTCCTAAAACCGGCTGCTCCCGTTCACCCTCCGTCACTCTTGCCCTGTTCTCTTCCTCGGTTCTCACCCTGCTGAAGTTTAGACTGCACGTTCCTTGTGGCAGTGACTTCTGCAGTTGTTTTTCAAAGTATCACAAGTCTGCCAGTGGTGCTACAGAATTAAGTTTTTAAAAACAACACAGCAGGGTGCAAAATGTGAATTGGGCTTACCATCGCATTGAGCTGAGAGTTGCTTGTCTGTGCAATGCCAAGAAGGCTGGTCGTGTGCATCACCTCCACTGAAAAACTGGGCAGCCAGCTGGCGATGCGGGAACCTGGAGAAGAGGACAGAGGACTCCTCAATATGGAAAAATAAAGAAGGCAAAAACATGGCGGGACCTCTTAAAGACTAACTGCTATATTTTAAATCTCAGTTTTCATGGAAAAGTCTGAAGAAGTGGCCTTGATCCAGGAAAGCTCACATTAAAACATAGCGGTTAGTCTTCAATGTGCCATAATGGTTTTGTTCTCTTATTTTTATTTTGCTTTTGCCCAATCAGCCAGCACAGACGACCACAGCTACCTCCTCCTCTACACCCAAAAGGGGTACTAGATGGAATACATGAGGCTGACCCTCCATCATCTATATTTCATTAGAGATATTTGGCAGGAAGATTCTACCCCAAGAACAAAAAAAGAAGAACAGAAGAAAATTAAGATGTGCAGCGCTTGCTGCAACTTCCGTCGAGGGATGTTTGGCAGTGAAACGCCATGTCAGCAGTACTTTGACAGATGGGAGAGATGATTCCATGTTTGAAGGAAAAGAAGGAATTTGGTGTTGTTTCAATCAGGTTATGGATTTAGGGCTAGACACACCTGCAAGCTACGCACTAAAAACACCACTCGTGGTTCTTCCAACAGGAAGCGATGCTAGAGGATAATGATCATGATGGTAATATGAAAACGAATCCCTAGACTAACTCATCGCTATGAAAGATGCGCCTGGAGACAGGTTCCTGCTTCTCCCGAAAGCATGCTAGCCAAGCCGACTGACGAAGGCAAAAGAACCAACCATCGAAGTGGAAGAAGTGATTGTGCTGGTTCAGGTGAGGCCTGCCTTCGGCCACTGCCACCGGAGCCAGGTTCTCCTCCAGGTTCTCCCTCTGGTGGTCCTCTCTTGCGTGATGGTTGTCCGTGATATTCAGAGACATTCTGCAGGTGGGGCAGGAAGTGTCTTGCTCAAGCCAGGAGCGCAGGCAGGAGCTAATAATTAAACAGAGGACATCGAGTGAAATTCTTAGGAGGAAATAAAATGCAAATCCTAGAGTAGGCAAGACCAGCAAAGAAAATATCAAACCATCATCTGCGAGCTTTCGTGGGTCAAGACCAATCTGCCAGGCTTATATCAAGGTGAAGAACTTCCAAAAGTTCATGGCAAGATGGATTTTGCCAGAAAAGTTACTCTTAGCTGTAAAGTCTAAAGATTCTAGGGAAGATAGATTATGCCCGGCACATCTTTCTCTAAGTCAGGAAAGATAAAGGCTGGGTTTAGGGCTGTTGTTTTAAAGTTACAGCTGAGGAAGCTGTGGACTGGATACCATGGCCCAGTTCTTCAACCATAGAGGCACTGGCCACACGTGCGCACACCTTCCCATTTGGACTTCCTTTGAAATGGACATGACTCTGCTTGGCTGGGGGGGGCGGTTACAAGGACGTTCACCTTTCCTTAGGAGAAGTAACAGATTGTGTAATATTTCATCATCTAACAGATTACATCCCCAAATGATTTACCTAAAGACCTGATCACCAGTATATGTAACTAGACCATTTAATTTAATGAAAGTTCTTCCTATCTCCATCTTGCCAGGAAGCGGAGGAGCAACAATATACACATACGGGCTGCAATAACCACAGGTTTTATGGCTTCAGGTCTTACATGACTCAAAAGAGCAGACTAGAAGTCATAAATGCCTGTGTGGCATTTCATATTTATTTACAATTAGATTTAAAGGCCAGCTTTCCCAGCTAAAAAAATTCTCCAAGCAGCCTACGCTAAAATCAAAACTATTTACAGTGTTATATTGCTTAAAATTAAATGATGAAAACACAAACTTAAGATAGCTTGTATCCTGAAAACATCCAGAATTCAGGATCATAGAAAGACCGGAAGGACAGGCAGCCCTTCGCCAATACCCAAAACCTTCAGCGGAGGAGACTTGGAGAAGGTTGTTTGTGTGAGTGTTAACTGTCAGAGAAGAATAGGAGACGTCTTAGAAGATCACAGGAAACAAAGAGGCACCTGCTCTTTCACCTTCTTTTATAGGATAGATAATATGAAAATCTGCACACTCTTGCATGCTAGACCCAGATCACTGGGGGAGTAAAGAACACCCTGAAGGTTGCTACAAAACAGACCCACAGTCAACAGGATTCGCTAAAAATACGAAGAACGAGGCAGCCACCTTCAGACAACCAAACTGCTGAATTCCGAACCAGCTCAAATCTGTACAGTACAGTCTTGAGTGACCAGCACACATGCTGCTTATCCATCTTTTTCTAGAGCAGATTTTCTAAAAGAGCAAAATAGATCACAGTCATCATTGCAACCACCTTGGCAGGCAGGATAGGATGGCCTCTGAGCTCCATGGAGATGGAAGGATTTTGAGCAAGGTGTTTCCCTGGTCTTAGGACCACAGCACCACATGGCTTGGCCCCAGGGATACATTGTGACTTAAGTCAACCAAGAAACAATCTTGGCTCATGATGCTGCAGGCCCATAATCATCAACTGACCTCATGGGAAAGCAAGGATGGCTTTGTAAGTGTGTTGAAAAGCAGCTCTAATGGCGGATGGCCAGGCATCTCAGGGGAAGAGACGTATCTGTTATAAAGAACTAACGATCTTAAACAGGCTTCTCAAAACAGCGGCAAATACTGATGGCACAGCTTGGAACCAATGACGACAACATGGTCCCTGCACTTCAATCTCCTTCCTTTGAGACTAGAACTTGCAGGAATCGCAAGAGAGAAGCAGAAAGGGCCACCAAAAGGTGCTTTCCAAGACCATCTACCAATTGAGAATCCTTTTAGCTATGAGAAACCCTGCTAGGTCTGCCTCATCCAGTCTCTTGTCTCCAAAAGTGACTAAGAAGAGGCTTCTCCAAAGCTCTCCAAACTACACACTGGGGCAGGCCAGAATGAGCCAGATCTGACAACCACCCCTTAAGCTAGAGATAAGGAAACCAGTCTATTTCTGGGAGAGGAGAAATATGGAAGCTGAAACTGGCAGATCAGAAAATGGAGTATGAAAATGAAAAACTGGATGCACAAATGAAATTCAGTAATTAACTGGAGATCCTCAGAACACACAACTTATTCTTCCCCACTTTGTCCCCCCAGGTACGTACTTATGGAACAGATGTCCACAAGGGAGTTTACGAGCAGACTGCATGGAGTCCCAGCAAATGGCACAGTCATCGTTGTTGGCTGCCAATTCCTCAGGAGTGGCCACTGCAAACCTACGGCAAGAGAACCAGATCAAAATTACGAAAAAGGAACAGGGAGGCATCGGCCTAAAGCAATCCACGTGGAAATCTATGTCTTGGTTGCAGCCAAATCTCATCTGAGCTAAGCAAAATAACTCCAAAGACAGGTCCCAACACAAAGGAGCTGAACAAGATGACATCGAGCAGTTTTGACACCACCTCCGGTGGTCCAAACGGTAACAAAAACTTTTTGTCTTGCTACCTGAATGAATGAACTCATTAACGCAAAGCTGTTCACGTGACCACTCAACTACTCTTCTTTAACAACCCCCATTAAGGTAATTATCACTGTTTGTAGTTTTTGCACTGACTGATGATTACAATTTCATATCCACTCACCACCAACCTACCTGCCCAGGCACATGTATAATCATAGCCAACTGTTGGGTGTATTTAAGCCAGAACATGTGCCAAATAAGGTTTGTTAAGTCTTTAAGGTGCACAAAACCCTGTTGCATTTTTGCTGCAACAGACAAATGCAGAGATTCCACCCCCCGCCCGCCAGGGTGGCAAGGAAATGGCCTAAGCCTCTTTCCTGTTAAGGCACACCTCAAGCGACCTGCGTACCTCGCTTCCATATTTCCAACCACGCGGAGGTAGTTCTTGTGGCGACGAAGTCTACGCTGGACCTCATGAAACAGGTAACGCAGCTGCATGAAGATCACCAGGCTGGCCATGGACAGCCAGATGTTGCCAAACAGCTGCCAAATAAATGCAAAAAGAGCACTGAGTGGCTTAGGGACACAAAAGGAGGCAGTGTTCCCAGTCTAGAAAGTTTTAAACGGCAGGAGCTTACGTTATAAAGGGAAAAGATGAGCAAAGCTGAAATGGTAGGCATGGTTCTTTGATTCCTGCTTTATAGCAGGACAAGCTTAAGTGTACAAGGGACAGCGGTCCTGCCATTTCAGAAAACTGCCTGTTTCATCTTTCATAGAGACATGATCTGCTTTACAACGACCACATAAGAGACTAGTCCTGTTGACGTTAAGAGTGCGTACCAGCATGTGGATGTGATGCATGAGATCCAGGGACAGGAGCATTAACTCCATGATGAAATCGGTGTAATAGACATACGTTCCCTTGCTCTCCCAGGTCCCTTCATGATTGAGATCCCAGAGATGTATGACGTAACTGGGTGAGGGAAAAGAGAGATCGCTGCATTATTCAAGTGGCATTTTGAAAGCTGGATAAATAAAAAAAGACACTGACAAAAGATGGGCTCCTAAACACGGTGGCACACACCTGCTCTCCTCTCTCCCATTTCTCATCCTAGAGTATGTGGTCTGAAAGGTGGCACCGGCCAGCTGGAGATTCCAAGGTCATTTTTATTCTCCTCCTCACTTAGTCGAGCTCTTTTTCTTGTTCCTCGCCCTCTCCTCTCAGGCACTAGAGATTATCGGTGTGGCCTTCCAGGTCCTACTCAAGTGGCTCTTTTTGCCTTGATCAGGCTGCCCATTCCATGTCTCAGAACAGTAGTTCTATTTAGGTGTCCCATCCAAGGGGGCTCTTCTAAATCCAGGAGAAGAGGAAGCGGGCTAGCCTTGCCCCTTCCCTGCATCTCCATCCTAGTCCTCCAACATGGGCAGCTACCTCTAGGGAGCGCTCTCCACCTGGGCAGCATCTCCAGGCAAGGAGAAACCTTTACTTGTCAGGGCTTTGGATCTTGCAGAGAAATCTCCATGGTTCTCCTCTTCAGATAGGAAAAGGCAGAGAGAGGCAAGCTTCCTCCCTCTGCTTTAGGGTCTGGATTAGTCCTTTGCTGAATGCCTGAATATGACCAGTAGAATCCCACTAACCCAACCTGGCCTTCTCTCTGCATCTTGGGACTGTCACTCCCCAAATAGTCAACTGAAAGGGCCAGTTTCATCTTTATATGCTTTTGTGTTACTGTAGAGCTTTGACATATGACTAGTTCATGCTTTGTCGCCTTCTGATGGTTTGGTTGATTTGCAACTGGTTGGACCCAGATTTAAGGGACACAAACTGATGGAAAGGGGAGTTCTCTTCTCTTTCCCCCTCCTGGATGCCCATACAATGCTGTGAAAATGCTATAAGATGGGTCAGAAGACTCTGCTGAATGGGGAAAGCTCTAGTATATGACAGAGAGGGGTCCCCCCCCAAGGTCACGGAGATGCACTTCTCATCCCTAGAAGGCACGTTCTGGGCCCAAATTGCTTACAGCAAACACAGCAAACATTTGGCAACTGAACCAACTCTCTGTCTCTCACAAACTTTGAATGACAATCTTACTTACCGTAAAATCACATGCACAGTTCTCACGGTGACAAGAAGGGACTAAGAATTAAAAAGAGAGAGAGAGAGAGAGGAGGAAAAAAAAAAAACAGGTAACTTTAAATATTTTTTTATGAAACCTGGCAAGACGATCAGAAGAAATGGGATAGAATATGCTTCTTAAATTCTGGGATTAAACTCTTGTTCACTGTCTGGGCAATATTTTCTTCCTGTTTCTGAGGCACTGTATGAGCTTATTCTGTGAGGAATGAATAGGATTCCTCAAGTAGGAAGAGAATAAGTCCAGGTAACAGGCTGCCTTGCCGAGGGGAGTAACGTGCTCCCAGAAAACGAGCGGGCCAGGAAGACAGTTTGCAAATGGTTTTCATTGTTTTACAGGAAAGCTCAAGGAAAGCCGGAGATGGAAGTGAAAACTAATACAACCACATCATGGGAACACCAAAAGCCAAAACACAAGATTCTATTATATTCCAGCTTTCAAGTTCATTTTTTTTAATGGTCAGAACCACAAGCAGGATCCTGTTACACAAGAAAAGACTAAGCTGAGTGAGACAACCTATGAAAAGCCAATTCAAATCCAAATCTCATGTCTTGATTTCTATCACTCCTCCTCTAATCGCTGAATTTGCTACTACTATGTAGGACAAGCTCCTGTCTCACATATTACAGTGTATATGGGAAGAGTGCATCCACAAGTTACTGGATGTACAAAATAAATTTGACATAAATTTCAACTTTCATGATACGCCAACCCTACTGAACAGCCCTTGCCTCTCCTGTTTCCACCCGCGCTTTGCATTCTGCATTTGTTTATTTAAGACTCATTTGCCACCAGCAGTTAACAGCTTTATAGAGTGACAGGCCATTGACAAAAAGCACACAAATAAAACCAGAAAGCTGCACAGCAGTGTTACTGTGCACCCGACGTCCAGAATCCTGTTACAGATCTGCAAAATTACTCAAATGTCATACGAACATCAACAGGATTCTGGCCACTGCTATATATTCCGGCTGAGAGTTTAAAAGAAAAGAAAAAAGTTGTACCAATAAATCCAGGCTCACCAGAAAGCATGACACTCATGTTTAAATCTTATTTTAAGTGAACATCTCACCTCTGCAGCCATGAAAGATAAGGTGTGCATTCCATGGGTGTAGCCGATCACACCGCACACAACTCCTAGCCCGCAGCATGAAAGCAGCATCCCTACTAGCAGAGTCAGGACCCGGATGTGGCTGTTCATGGGTGTGGTGGGTGAAAAGGAGAGCTGCAGGAGAGGAACCAAACGGTGAGGAACCCTCTGTTCACTTCAACTTCCAAAGCAAGCCCATCCAATAAACTCTGACTTGTCAAGAGCTCATCTCCCTAGTTCGTTTTTAGGAGAATCACATGAGCTGTTCTGGCATTTCAGATCCCTGGAGAGGCCGGATTTTTAACCAGCAGTGATTTTTAAATGATCAGAACCACAAGCAGGATCCTGTTACACAAGAAAAGACTAAGCTGAGTGAGACAACCTATGAAAAGCCAATTCAAATCCAAATCTCATGTCTTGATTTCTATCACTCCTCCTGTAATCACTGAATTTGCTACTATTGTGTAGGACAAGCTCCTGCCTCACATATTACAGTTTATATGGGAAGAGAGCATCCACAAGTTACTGGATGTACACAATAAATTTGACATAAAGTCAAATTTCAACTTCCATGATACGCCAACCGTACTGAACAGCCCTTGTCTCTCCTGTTTCCACCACGCTTTGCATTCTGCATTTATTTAAGACCCATTTGCCACCAATAGTTAACAGCTTTATAGAGTGAGAAGCCATTTACAAAAACACAAAGAAAACCAGAAAGCTGCACACCAATGTTACTGTGCACCCAATGTCCAGAATCCTGTTACAGATGTGCAAAATTACTCAAATGTCACACAAACATCAACAGGATTCTGGCCACTGCTATATATTCCGGCTGAGAGTTTAAAAGAAAAGAAAAAAGTTGTACCAATAAATCCAGGCTCACCAGAAAGCATGACACTCATGTTTAAATCTTATTTTAAGTGAACATCTCACCTCTGCAGCCATGAAAGATAAGGTGTGCATTCCATGGGTGTAGCCGATCACACCGCACACAACTCCTAGCCCGCAGCATGAAAGCAGCATCCCTACTAGCAGAGTCAGGACCCGGATGTGGCTGTTCATGGGTGTGGTGGGTGAAAAGGAGAGCTGCAGGAGAGGAACCAAACGGTGAGGAACCCTCTGTTCACTTCAACTTCCAAAGCAAGCCCATCCAATAAACTCTGACTTGTCAAGAGCTCATCTCCCTAGTTCGTTTTTAGGAGAATCACATGAGCTGTTCTGGCATTTCAGATCCCTGGAGAGGCCGGATTTTTAACCAGCAGTGATTTCTTGATCATCCGCATACAAAGCAGAAGTGGAGTCTGCCTGGCTAGCTTTCAGCAGTGGGGTGTCCTGGGGGGGGGGTCATGATACCTGCTCTGTCTAGAGGCACTTCCTTGCTTCTGATAGAGTGCTAAACAGGGGCACAGAAGATGCCACGTGGCACTTGACTCTCAAACATAAATGAATAAAGAGAACAAAGAGTAAGTGGAGAAGGCCGTCTGAAGGAAGGGATCCATCATTCTAGTTTTTCGCCAAAGTGTCCAAATTCATTGGCAATTGCAAGAAAAAACTAATTTATTCATTGTTATGTTTATACTATTTGTATCCTATCTCTCTCCTGGAATGGACCCAAGGCAGTTTAACAGTATTAAATCAAATACTGTGAAGGGCTAAAGAATGACAGATTATTAAATCATCTTAAAACTGCTGAGTTGGAAGGGACCCTCTGGATCATCAAGTCCGGCCCCTGTCAAAGAGGCACGTAGTGGGGGAACTGAAACTCCCAACCTCTGGCTCTGCAGCTGGATGCCTTAAACCACTGAGTTACCTGTGCTGAAAAAATACATATATTCCTGCAGAGCATGGAATTAATTCATCCAAAATTAATTTGTTACCCATAATTCATTGTAGTTTTTAACTATTTATTTTATTTAAAATATTTTTATCCCACCTTTCTCCTTAAAAAAATAACCCAAGGCAGCTAATTTCCAAACCCATTTCACTGTTTTAACGGCAATAATACTTAACAGTCTGATTGATAATTAACAATTCAGGCTACTTGACTTCGTTACTTAAGGAAGGTTATTTAGAAGCGGTTGGTCATTTTGGGTAACTTTCATTGGTTTATGGGGAAGTAACATGCCACTAACCTGCTCTAAAGTCTTAATTACACGAAAATGAAATGTTCTAATGATCATAAAAAGGAAGTTGCGTTACCAAATCAACTTTTGAATGAATGAATGAATGTTAAAATACTCGCTTGGACACTAACATTTGAAGCTGTGCACTCCCATGTAAAATGAAATCCCCCCCCCAGCTTCATGCCGCCAGCAAAGAACTTACATATTCAAACCTGTCCTTACAGAGCTGAACCATGAGATGTAAAAAAACAAGGCCAGAGAACCAGAGGCACCACATGACCACTTCTTCAACGGTCTGGACATTTAACACGCCAAAAATAAAGATGAACTTGTAGAAGATGAAGTTCCAAAATTTATCCTTGAGATGCTGAAAAAGATTAGCACACAACATTTTTTTTCTTTAAAAAAGGGTATGCTGAACATTCTGGATTATACTGAGAGCTGGACAAATCCCTGCAGACCAAAGGCTGCACAGCAACTGAAAATCAAAAGCCGGCCAATTTAGATATCTGCAGCTGCACCATATAATGCACAAAATGTAGGACACATCATTGTATTGTTCTGTATCTTGGGGTTTTTTTTTAAACTTGGGATTCTAAATTTTACACTACCCTTTTTAAGTAAACATCTAGGACTGTAGATAGAGGGGGAAAATAACAAATAAGTAATTTTTAAAAAGACCAAAACATAATGGCACCTTAAAGGCTAACTATTATATTTGTGCTTTTGTGGATCAAGTCCACTTTTTCAGACGCAAGAGAAAAAAATCTGACAGAAGAGAGAGAGACGTCTGAGGAAGTGGACTTGTCCATGAAAGCTCACATTAAAATAAAATAACAGTTAGTCTTTAAGGTGCCACCTCATTTTGGTCTTTCTTATTTGTTCCTTCATTTTTATTTTGTTTGTTTTCACCTACAATGCTTGCAACAGAATAACAGGGTTAATTCTTCTACATCTAAGCCTGTGCGTACTGGCCGACATCCAGTAGTAAACAACAACTAGCATAGGCCTGTTGAATCACTGGAGAATTGATGAGTCAATATTTATGTAAATTCTATTTATACAGTGGGCCTACTCTGAATTACTACTGGATTTCAGCCATTGTTTAAAATGGGAACAGCTGTGTTAAGCCTGGGGGGGGGGGGCAAATAGCAAACAGCCTTGTGACGCCCTAAAAAATTGAGTCCAAGAAACCATAAAAATTGATAGTCCTAAAAACGTGACCGGGCTCTTCACTATTTCTTCTTCACACGGCATGTAAAATATATTAAAAAAATACACAAGAAAGAGTCAACTTGCATGTTTACCTGCTTATGAGCGAAACAGGGTTTTTTTCATAAATACAATTTATGTATTTTTTCATAAATACAATTTTCAGTCAATTGTCAAACTGCTGTTGTTGACATGAACCACTTATTTGAGATTTATTCAAGAATTAGAACTTTGACCCATCACAACATTTTCCCTCAGAAACAATTTTAGAAATCAGCATTACACCCTAATTTGGATTCAAGCCTGGTCACATTTTTCTTTCCTGTAATTTGGTTTCAAGCCTGGTCACATTTTTCTTTCCTTTCTTTCCTTTCTTGTGTCTTTGTAACTTCAAGGATGGTAACCAAGCGGGCCTCAAAAAACAAGATTTCCCAAGATCTATTAACCCATCAATCACCTTGTGAGGAGGCCCACAGAACTTTCTTACCTGTCTTTCACTGACACGGAGAGAACCAAACACGACACTCTGTATTAGTTTCGCAATCAGCATTAGAATACAGCAAGCAGTATTCACCAGCACCTGGAATCAAAAAATATATATACTGTATATACAGAGATGCATAAGCCTAGCTTCTCATGAATCTCAGCATCAGCAAAATAGATCCCACCTTAAAACTCTGTGGCTCTGGGATCTACTGATTCATGTGCCCAACCAATTCGTCTGTTCCAAGGACTTTTTTTCTATCTGGACAGAATACTATAGCTGTCTTTATAGTGGTGGGAAGTTTTGGGAAAGAAATTGACACAGGTTGGAAGTAAGTGCCTAAATTAAATGGGGATGGTTAAAAAAACCACAATGGTGTCCTAATTTAGCTAACACAAAATGATCAAATCAGTGATAGTATCAGAGAGGTGGGAGGTCTTTTTAAATGAAAAAGAACAATGTGCCCCGAATCCATTATGGTCTGACATTACTACATTGGGGAAATCAGACCCTGACATTTCTGGCAAATGATTCAGAGAAACCTGCCTCCCACACTGACAACAAATGGATGTTTTTATTTATAACAATTTCATCCCATCCTTCCTCCAAGGGATACCCATCTTTACTCTACTTTCCCATTCCTTACTCTACCTTCTCATCAGTACTGGGAGATGAGGTTAAGCAGAGAAACGGCAACTGGCCTGAAGTCACTCTCAGGGGTTGTTGTCGGCTGGAGTAAACTCGGAACCCCAGACTAGGGGCACTGGGCTGATAACAATAGTCAACCGCCACCATTTCAACTACTGGGTGTCTTCCATGGATAATCAGGAAGGCCAGAAATTAAACTGATTAGGAAAAACAGGAAGAAGCAAAGCTCAAGGCGTTTGGGCCACACCTTTCTCTTGCTCGTTTTGTTAGTCCCAGACCACATACGGAGTTCAGAACATACACTCATTATCATCAGACTGAACACAGGAATGCTGCAATTATAAAATCAATAGGTCCCCAAGGAACTATTGATTATATCATTGCACGCCTCTCATTAGAATCTATCCGCAGGTCCCAACTGCTCCTCGCTTCTCTTCCTCCATCTGTTTTTAACAAAGGATCTAAGGAGCTGCCAACTGCCAAGCCCCCCTCATCCTCTCCCCAATCCAACTGCTCCTCGCTTCTCTTCCTCCATCTGATTTAAACAAAGGACCTAAGGAGCTGTCAGCTGCCAAGCCCCCCGCCCCATCCTCTCCCCAATCTGTCCACATTCCACCCCAGTCCATTCTTTAGAACATCTTGAAAAAGTATTAAAATACATAAGCCAAAGGCCAAATAAAGCTGTACATTTTTACTCCTTGTCTAAAAATCAGTCATGACGGAGCCAGCATGGACTCTTTGGGAACGAATTCCACACCAGGGTATCGCAACAGAAAACAGGACACCAAACAGGGTCTCCACTGAAGATCACAGATGATGCACAGCTTCAGATATATTTTCCGGGCCCATGCATTTGCGGCATTTCTAAGGCAAAGCCAGTGCCTTGAACTGCATTCAGAATGAATTGGAAACCAGCGTAGCTGGACTGAAGCGAGTGACTCAGGCTGGACTTTCCCCCTGGAGGCTATACTTCCTTGCAAGCTGCAGACAAACGACTATCTGCAAGCCCTCTGTGGCGAACAGGCGAATCTTTGCATAGTGCTAGCAAAGCAGTGGGAAAGGGGCTGGATTCATAGGGAAGGGACGTCCCAGTGCTCCATTGCACATTTAATTAAAAGCACTGGGGGTTTTGTAGACATGACAAAGCACACCACTGAGATACTTTTATAAACAAATATTCCCAAAGTTTATTTTCCAAAAAGTTGGCCATGTTAAGTCTGTTTCACATACGTTAACAGATGTAAAACAGAAACAATAACACTTCTGACATCCTTATAATCTTACAGGGGCCACCATTCTGTGGCTTACGGGCACATTTTTCACCATGCGACTTTCCACCCGGTTCCAACACTGAACATGGGCTGTCTACGACTTTTTCCTTTACTCCTCCTTCCTGCCATTTGTTCACCATACTCATATCCTGAGCTTATTTTACTAGAACACACCTACTGCATCCACGACCTTTTGCCAAACTGCCATCATTTCTGAACTACATCATGGCAGCTACCAAACGACAAGGTAAAAATGTGCGTGGACCAGTTTTCCTTTACCTTTTCAAAATGGAAAGGGATGGGAGGTCAAGGTTGATACCTGAACAGAACTGAAGACTGTGGGTTGCAAGACAGAAAGCCAGGAGTGATGCACTCCAGAACTGATAGCCAAGCGGTTACATTTCTTGGCATCCTTCATTTCTCTCCTACTTTTTTTAAAAAATAAAACTGCTTATACAAGGAAGGTGGGCTTATTTCTAATATTACTTGTTCATTCAGAGTGGCAGAAAGAAGCAAGGAGGCAGTCTTCTTTCAAAGAGAACTATTCATGATCACAGCAGCAAAACATTAGGAAAGAGGTGATGAAGGGGGTTTGCTGAAATTAAGCCATAGGGGTAGGTTTTTTTTTTCTTGGCTGGACCCAGAAGGGCTGAGGATCAGACCTGTTACCAGTACGTGGGAATTCTACATACAGTAAAGTCGACGTCACAGTCTAAAATTTTAAAAGTTCCCAGTCAAATAGATGTAACAATAAGGTTTTGGTCACAGGTAAGCATTTCCATAAGTAAGACTTACTCGATCCCCTGTCCTCTCGTACAACCATGTGTAACGACAGACATCTCCATTGACAACCATGTATATGTAAGACAGTCACTTCGTACATGCTCTCTTTTTCAAAGCTATGGTGATTATGGAGTTTGGATAAAAGCCCTACCAGCTTCTATGAAAAAAATGACTTCATACTGGGTCAAATCTCTACTTTGCAACACACAAGCGTGACTGAGTAAGACCGGCAGGTAGAAAGAGCTAGGTCACATCAACGGGGTTTTAGAATGTTTTCCCACTGGGTCAACTATGACACAGGAGAATCAAACAGGACTTACGTCAGGAGTAAACCACAGGTCATGACCGCAAGTGGAACAAAACACTGACTGCTGGATTTGTCCGCCCATCAGATTTCACCCAGTAAAGAGGAAATGGTAATCCAGGGCCATTTACCTGCGGCACCAACACGGTGCCAAAAAGAGCAGCACGTTTCACAACATCCTGTGGCAATTCTGTGACTCATAAGTATCCTAAGAGGAGACCCACCCCTAGGATTTTTCTTTGCTGATTCACGGCCAGGTGAAAGAATATTGTGATTTGAACTTTCATCAGTCTCAACAAGAAGCGATGCCTTAAGAGATTAAGCCTGCACTCTTATCCGCACTTACCTGCCAGGAAAACCCACTGAACAAAATGGGATTAGACAGTGCATTCATTCATTCAATCAATTTTATTTAAATTCTTCATGTGCCACTTTTCTCCCCAGAGGGGACCCAATGCCCAAGATAAAACAACAGATTTAAAAAGATTATTTTAAAAAGCAATTAAAGATACATTGATTTTTAAACACCTTTTATTTTTTAAAAAAAAAAATAAAAACAATTAAATACCTGAAAGGTAAAAACCAGCATTCCCAAGATAACATATTGATTTAAAAGCCTGTCTGAGGAGGAAGGTCTTTGAAAGAACAAGAGGGGGGCAGCTCCTTCTCACACCTCAGAACAGCCACTGAGAAGGTCCTCTCTTCTGTCCCCACCAAATGAGCTTGGGAAGGTGGTATAATCAAGAGAAGCCCTCCCCCAAAAAGAGCTTAAAAGGTAGGAAGACTCACATGGAGTAATATAATCCTTCCAATAACCTGGTGCCAAGCCATATAGGGCTTTATGGGCCCTGAAACAGACCGGCAGCCAGTGAAATTGTTGAAAGAATAATTACAGCCTGCACACAACATTACATGCACAGAATGAAGCCATAGATAGTTTACTTTAGAGTGACCTAATAGGCAGCCATCTCCTTTACCAGATGCAGTTAGTGAAATGAACCTCATTTCTCTTACAAAACCTAGGCTGTCGTAAACCCACATAAGCACTGAGTTGAGGCAAGACTCTTTAGCTTGTCAACTTCAGGACGCAGCTCAAGCAGCTAAATCGAGGTAAACTCTGTGTGTTCCTCCCTCATGCAAATGAGTCCCACACAACATGAGCTCCAGTATAATCCTACCCTGAAGTAACGGGAGATGCATTAGGTTGCACAGCTATTCATGCAGATCAGCAGCTCCAAGGCACTGATCCGCTTGGCTAGCATTCGGCCAAGAAATGATCCTGTGCTGGAAAACACGTTGTTCGCCTTGACACTGGCGATGATTCAGTCTCGCCCTCAATAACATAATGAGTCTTTATCACAAGGGTGTCCTCATAATCGACCTGTCAAGAAGGATGACGGTGTTTTCAGACCAGGGCAAGCTGTCAAAGCAAGGAATGGGGCAATACTCTAGCAGAGCAGTGGGTAACTATGATTCTGTAGACTACAACACCCATCATCCTTCACCAATGGCTAAATTAGCAAAGGCTCAAGGAAGTTGTACAAGGAAAGCATCTGGGAGGGCCATGGTGGCCCACTCATTTTATGGCATAAACACTCTAGAATACTTTATTCAAATTTATTTATTCGTTTACTACATTTCTACACTGCCTGATGGCCGAAGTTTTCCTGGTGGCTTAAAAAACAAAACCATCCAATATGCACACATGGAGCTAAATCCAACTTAAGTCCCAGCCAGAGTAAACCCACCGAATTAAAACAAACTTGCAAGTGTGTTGCCTTCATTTCAGTATGTATTAACCGGGACTGAAACTGAATACAGCCCATGACACTTCATTATGTAACAACCATATTAGAAAGAATGAATATTGCAACAGAATAAAACCAAAACCACCAGAAGGGCAAGTCTTAAAAATCACTAGCCGCTGTTGTGTGAGTTTGTTTGTTTTTCCAAATAAGCAAATTAAAAAGTAGGGCAGCATAAAATGGTCTCTGCTTTGTGTTAAAAATTCCAAGACGCAGGGACCCAGGCAAGTTGCTCAATCAACAAGCAAGGTGCCACTAACAAACATGCCCTTCTCTTAGTAGCCACCTACCCTGCCTCACTTGACACAGGCATCCAGAAAAGGATCTCTGAAAATGATCATGGGGTGCAGGAAGGGTTGATATTATTTATACGCTGCCTTTCTCTCCCTAGGAGACCCGAAGTGGCTCATAATTAAACTAGACAACGCTCACAGCTTTCAACACACCATAAAAGCTGTATTAAAAAAAAAAGAAATGAAACCTTTGTCAACATTAAAACCAACATTAAAGGCTTGGCCCTAAGCTGCTTATGGGACTGTTGGCAAACACCACCACTGAACTTGGGTCCAGAGGAGAGGTGCAGGCTGTTCCCCAATTATCTCTCTCTTCATTTAAAAATCTAAAAGCAACTCTAGGGAAATGATGGGGAAAGTTGACAAGGTGCTTAACTGTTTCTCCTCCGTCTGCATTTACATGCAGTGAGGCAATTTTGCTCTAGAGATTTGAGCGTCTTCGCTGGAAACAGACCAACGTGGCCGAAATGAGGTGGGACGTTATAAACAGGCTGCAGTTAGTTCTCTGTTAAGGGAGTTCCTTCCTGCTGTTGAGAAACCTGGGAGTTTCGCCTGGCCCTCCTACAACACAGACACACCGAGAGAGAGAGCAAGAAAAGCCATTCGGAGTTCCGAGGCACATCTGTCATAAAAGCTGGATGCTTATGCACAACTTGTTCCGGAAGGACCTGAATTCCTTTCAGGAGCGTTCCTCAAATACGTGCTTTTTATGAAAACAGAAGTGTCAGCAAGAGGCAGGAAAGCTCTTGAACCAGCTCGGGCTGGTTCACCAGCTCCAGTTTATCTAGAAAAAGCAGATGCCTTAAAAAAAACTGAGTATGCGTCTTAACCACCTGCCATCTGAATTACTGGAATACATTCCAAGCTCAAGAAAAGCACATTATTTTTATTCTGCCTTTATTCCTCTTACATATTGCTGCACTTAAAAAACAAATACACTGACGTTATTCATTAAAGTGTTCAAAAAGGGACGCATCATTGGTTTTTTGTGCTGCTGCTGCTTAATTTTTCGTTTGTTTTGATGTGGAGGGGATACATGAATTTTAGAGGTTATAAGAGAAGGGTGCAACCTTGAAAAAAATCCTGTCAAAATGCTTTTTTTACAAAAACTTTTAAATGCAACTAGAACCCCCTTCAATGTTATATCAATATAGTAACTTCATTCCTACTTGTTTACCTTTTCAAATGCAAATTCATTACACCCTTGTTACTCTTCTTTTACCCGAGGACAACAAACAGGGCTTTTCCGATAGCGGCAGCATGAATCAGGAATTCTCTTCCAGAAGGATATGTTTTGGCATATTTTGTCAATTTTGAGGAGAACTTTATAAGTGTTTCTCTACTTCAGCCAACTTTTGGATGATCTTAAGGTCCACCTGTTGTTGGTATTTTATTTAATACTGCTGTATACTTTACATTCCAGTTGTTATACATAACCATTTGTACTTGATATTGTGAATCGTGCTGTGGAGACAGTTTTCCTGAAGAGTGGAAGATTTCCTCTATTAGCCAAGCACAGAACCCATACAAATCCTGAGCTACTCTGCCAATGAAGTATTACCTGTGGCTTGCAAGAACAGCTGCAAATCCATTCCCAGTTACAATACGTACCTTCTTTCCTCACAACACTGCTGCACACACACAACTAACAGAACCCTGTGGCAAACGAAGAGGTCAACAGCCACCACAGAAAGCATAGACAGGGGCAATAACAGGCTCAAAATAAAAGGTTGCAGCTCAGATGTAGAGCATCTGCTTTGTCCCAGGTTCTGTCTGTTACATCTTAATGGGCTGGGACAGCAACCGAATCTGGGTGAATGAAGCATTTTTCCTATTGAGAAGCCCTAAAGCAGTGAGCAAGCTCCTTCCCGAGGAACAAGGCTCTGGACCTGCGAAATTCACAATCGAAGCAGCACAGGACAGAAAATACAACAAGCAGAGACCCTCGGAAACCTATGTGAAATTATTTTTCCTCTTCAATCCCCTTACATAACTAATAGGTCATTTATATTTCTTAGTGCTTCAAAAAACAAAAAATACCCACTGAAATTCTGGCCTGCAACTTCCAGAATCGACAGTTAACCATCAAACAAAGGATCTGTGGACCTTGGAATTATAGCTCAAAAATTAATTTTTCAAGCTATTTTTGTTAGATGTCGATTTCCATGCATCCCCTTCTCACGTCTGAGTTGCAATGGCCCTCTTTCCTAGCCATCCCTTGGATCTTAAACTCACTTCCTACTTCTACAATTTTCACAAAACATTCAAACACACACATACCTCAAGCAGCTATTATTCTCCATTTTCCAAGTCCAATTTCCTTACCCTTTATTTATTTATTTAGAATATTTCTATCCCGCCTTTCTCCCCAACAGGACCCTCGGCTCCTACTGGCCATCTCATTCTGCCCCCAAATGCCTGCTTCTTGGACACAATCACTCCTACCTCTCTCACACTGGCCAGAATCCTGTTGCATCACTCCACGGCACAATGGGGACGATGCTCAAGTTACGTACATACAGGAAGCCAGATTCTTTTCACTGAATACCGGGAAATTCTTCCTTACTGTTAGAGCAGTACAACAATGGAACCAATGATCTATTTTACACAAAATACACACACACACACACACTCGCACACACACACACACACAAACACACACACACACACACACACACACACACACACCCCTCTCTCTCTCAAGGAGCTATTATTCTCCATTTTCCAAGTCCATTCTCCAACACTGGAGGCGTTCAAGAGGAAATTGGACAACTACTGTATATGTCAGATGTACTTTAACTTGAATTCCTGCGTTTAGCTAAGTGTTGGGCCTGATGGCCTTATAGGCTCCTTCCAATATTCTCGGATTCTGCAAATTAAAATTTCTCTTTCCCAAGGCTGCCCAAGAGGATGCTGACAATTATATTATGAAAACCATGTGACACTAAATGACACCTCCCGTGATGGTAATGGGGCCACGAGCTGTATCAGGTAGGAATGATGGGGACTGTAGTTCAGTGTCATTCAAGGACCACCACCTGCTGATTAGAACGGTGTCTTGTAAATAGTTGAGAAGGCTGAAAGGGTGGGAACAGATGAGCCTACCAGTTACAAGAAAGGTAAAAGGTGAAGGGGAATAAATAGATGGTAAATGATTATGTTGGGCCTTAAGGTCTGGAAGATCTAAGAAGATCTAATTAGTAAACGTTTAGTGGGGGATTGAAATTATCTAATTTTCCTTTATGGTTCCTATTTTGCATTTTGTGTGGACTAAACTTTCTCCTTTTGCAGGTTGTAGTAAATTAGCAAGGCCTTCCCCTCCTACACCGTTTTCTCTTTGATTATGCTAGTTCTGATCTTTAACCTCCGAAGAAGCAGACTGCAATCCACATAAAGCTCACAAGGGAAATACCTCTCTCCCCCCTTCGAAGGTGCCCCCAGACTTCTGCTGTTGTTTCCTTTCTGTTGTTGCTGAAACAGACTTGCCCAGTTACATCTCTGAAACTTGTAACATTTCTAGTGTGTGTTATTGTAAAGTAACATGTATTTTTTCCCTTTTCTAAAAAAATATACAGCAAGTTATTGCAACACTGGTGAAGGTATTTATATAAACTTTCTGACTGAAATGCATTCTAATTTATTACTCTGGCATTTGCAGCAAAATTCTTTATCATCTAAGTTCTGATCCATAACTTTTCTAGCACCTCTAAGATGCATCGACCTGCCATGAATTTTTGTGACTGTTGTTTATAATTTTTCTGCACTATCCACAGGATATTGACGCACAGCCTAAGCCTAAAGCTCCCCATTTATTCAGGTTTTTTCCCCCTGTGTTCTAATAAAGGTATTGCCTTCTCTTGCATTTGTGCAATTTTAAGGACACCCCCAAGCCTTTTCTTGATTTGTTTTCTTTTCTAACAGGGTTTTCGGAGAGCCAGCCCTGCTAGCCTGTTCCAAAAAAATAAATAAATAAAATAAATTAAAAAAACGAAAGCAAGGACGAGAAAAAGCGAAAGAAAAACTAAAGGGACGTCAGCAGCTTCATTCTCTTGATTTTTTCAATGGATGCTTTCCTAGATGCCAAGTCAACATGTCCCAAAACCAGAAACAGACGTCCTGGGCTACCTTGAGGACCGACCGCCTTATTTTAGGGTGTCATGTGTGGATGATGCGACCCGCTTCATCGGGTGCACTCCAACATGCCTGCCTGCAAAGAAGCGGGTTCTCCTTAAAGAAGGGAACGGAACGGAAAGAATGGAAGGAAAGAATGGAAAGGAACGGGAATGAAAAGGAAAGGAACAAAAGTAAAGGAACGGGGATGAAAAGGAACGGGAGTAAACAGGAAAGGGACGAATGGAAAGGAACGGGAACAAAAAGGAAAAGAATGGAAAGGACATAAAAGGAACGGAAAGGAACGGATGGACAGGCGTGGAAAGGAACGGAAAACATCCCTCCTCCCCCCCCCGACACACCCCCAGGGTCCCTCACCCAGACGCAGAGGCCGTCGGAGAGGAGGTAAGAGGCGACGTCCAGGGCGGCCGGGCGGGCTCGTCGGGCGGCTCCGGCCTCGTCGCCGGCCTGGTCCTGGTCGGGCTCTCCCGGCTGGGCTCCGGGCTGGTCGTCGTCGTCGTCGTCGTGCCGGAGGGCGCGGTAGGCGCTGAGGCCGCTGCCCCGC